TCCCCGCGGCCGCCGGCCGGGCCCGCCGTGTCCCCGGGAGCCCCGTCGGGCGCGTGGCGGCCGTGGCACCTGCCCGAGGCGCGGAGGTGGCCGGAGGCCGCCCGGCGAGGGGCCCTCGCGGCCGCTGGGCTCTTGTCCCCGACCGGCCCTGGCTGTTTCCTCCCGGCGAGGCCGCGGGGAGCTGAGCGAGGCCAGGCGTGTGGACGAGGCAGGTGCCTCCTTCCCGRCTGCCATCGACTTGTGGCCTTCACCACCTCCTCGGCGCTGCAGCACAAGGCACTGGGGGTGCCCGGGCGTGGGGCCCCCGTTGCTTTCCCTCAGGAAGGCTTCCAAAGTCCACAGTGTTAGGAAGGCCACCTGCCTTCGACCTCCTCCGGTTAATTTGGTGTATGTCGCTTTTTTGGTGAGCTTGTCCCGAGGCGGGCTTGAGCTTCGTTTCCCAGCAGGGCTGGGGTCTGTGGCTCAGCCTGACACTGCTGCAAGCCCAGCTGGAGTTGCCTGGGCCCGCCGGTCACCCAGTGAAAGCGGTGGGTGCTGAAGCCAGTGGACAGCTCAGTGCCCCTGGAGACCGACCTCACAGGCAAACTCAAAGCGGGGTAGATAAAACCAGCTTATTTCTTAAAAGGCTTCTCTGTGCCTCCAAAGTCCACCCCAAACCTTAAGCCTTTCCATGCGTCCATCGCTTTCCTTTTGCACAGGCCACTTTACTGAAGGGTTTTGAAGACTATAATGATACAAGGAAAGAAGCTAGTGGTCCTGAAAAGAAGTGCAGCCTTTTCTGTGGGAACAGGCTGAGCATCGTGGACTGGACATGCATGCCTGGGAGTGGGAACGCTAATGAAATGGACTGCCATGCACCAGATGGTGCCCATGCCAGCAGCAGCCCCTTTTAGTGCTCTGCCTTTATTCGCTTGAAGGCCTTCTCAGTCTGTTTGCTGGGCTCTTTCAGGTCTCTAACAATTTCTGCCRTTTCTGCAGTGTCTTCCATCTGAGAATCGTTAAAAGCTTTGTAAATATTAATGAAAGAAAGCTTTGCTAAACCTTTGGGAAGCAGCACTTCTTCCTCAGCAGATATAGGTGGCTTTTTTTCTTTCTTTAACCCTTTCTATATTCTACCAGGATGCATCCCTGGCGCAGTGAATCAAAGTAGGTCCTCTTGTCTGTATTTTCTCTTCACCTCCATTTTAACTTTTCTCCCAATATTTTTTTGCCTTCTAACTGCTGTGTAACTCTGTTCCTGTCACTAGTGCAGCGAGATGACTACTGACTTCTCCAAGCAAAGYAGCTCTGTGGCTGTGACTACTTCATGAGCACACAGTGCATGCGTACGTAAGGCCTGTTCTTACCAACAACTTTCTGTTGGGACTGTGGTTCTTTGTGCTTAAAAGCGTGCTTTTATCTCAACAGTATCACAGTCCTGGGCGTGGGCCGTGTTCTTCTCGTGATATATGCCTTTTGGCAGGTAGCTTAGGACACTGCAGCTTCTGCTGGGCAAACTCAGGTTGCTTATCCTTGCTACCATATTCTTCACTGCGTGTGGCTCGTGCTCTGTGAAAACTAGGCAGAGATAAAGTTGTCGGAGGATTTTCTATGTGATAAGAGTAGAGAAACGCCAGCTTGCCAATCTTGAAATGCTTTGGTCTTGAGAAACACAGAGTGCTCTTTTTTTTTTTTTTTTTTTCTCATTTGTTTTCACTGGGAAAATGTTTTCCTGGTTTTGTGTTTGGGACCTTGAGAATGTACCCTGCTGTATGTGAGATCTGGGAGCTTAGAAATGCGGAGAGCCTAGAAAAGTGTGGCTGAAGGGGAGGCCCTCCAGCCTTGCACTCTCTGGGTGCTCGCCCAGGAGCCTCCATGAGTCTGCAGCCCTTCTCCGTGGAGTCTCATAAGGCTTTGGGGTGACTGGGTCCACTGGCTTTTGGATAGACTTCCAAGTGGCTACCTCTGGGGTTTGACTGGTCCCTGGAGGGGTCCCTGGGGCACGAGGGAACTGYGGATCCTGGAGCATGGGAGTTCCTGGCCGAAGCCAACATCTGTTGCCCGACTGTCCCTTTGCACTCCTTAATATGAGCCCATTTAGACGGGAGCACTGCCAAGCAGGACTATTTTTAGACCTAACAGTTTTGACAGTGTTCCTTTAAGTGTGCTTTTTTTTTCCCCCCTTCCTTCTAGTGAGAATGAAAGAACTAGGTCAGAGTCAGTAGAAAAAGGCTTTTGATCTTTGCTACAGTGTTCTCGGAAATATTTTTCTCCTGCTCTTATGCAGCAGAGGTAGAGGAGGAGAGAGAYGGGTGATGTTTTCCCCATGTTTATTGCCCAGGTAAGCACGAGCCTGACAGCAGCAGCCAGCTGCTGCACGCAGGTAATCCCCCATACTACTGTCACACCCCACGCAGTTCTGACCTGCATCATCCTTGAGATTTTGAGCAAAAAACTGCTAATTATATCACGGAGTGGTTTCCTAGTAAGTGTGGTCTGCCATCTTTCTTCTTGTGTATAGACTTTGAAATATACAAATTCATTAATTGCTAGTCTCCTCCTGAAGGCTGGTGAAAGGTTAGTTCTCTGCTGTCTTGTGGCTCTCCTTTAGTGGTGTGGTGCTGTTGAGACTCTGGACCTATGTGCTGGAGAATATTTTTCTCTCCATGGGGTCTTGCTGGCTTACAGGTGACAGAATGGCCCTGCCTTTGCTCCTCAGTAACCGTGAGGGAGAGCAGAGATTTATGAAAGAGGTTAGAGCCTTCTGGGATGTCAAAGCAGGGTAAACTGCTGCAAAACTGAGCTTATTTGCAGCCTGTGAGCGTGTCAAAGCAGTCCTGTGAGTTCCAGCCCCATGGTAGAGCTCAGTGGAAAGCCTTCAGTGCTCAGCAAACTTTAACTCATGGTAAATGTTGCCCTGTATTTCCCCAGAGATTTGAGGTACTGCGTGCACCTACACTTGCTATGGCAGTCTGCCAGGGACGTCAAAGTGGGTTTAGGACCATCGAAAGGACAACTTAGATGTTAGTTTCAGTGTTGGGTACCTTGTATGCTGTTCCGAGGTGTGCCCAGAATTACAATAATCTTGCCCAAGTTTTGAGATATCCAGCCTTGCTTATCTCTATGCCCACTCCAGGCTCAGACTCTCAACCGTTACATTTCCAGGGAATCTGATCTAATAGATGTTTTCAGCACACCTAATTGTCTGTGGAGCAAAGAAGTCACAAATCTTGTCATTTGAAAATAGCATGTGCTTCCATCTTGTGCTTTCCTTAATAGGTCTCACCTGCTTCGTAGCTTGAAGGATGCAGAGAACTGCCAGCTGGAGGTAGGGCTGAGATCACAGTCCATCTTTCCAGTTGAAACTGTCACATTGGGTTGTAGCACAGGAGACTGACAGCACAGAGGTGGACATTTAGGAGATTTAGTGACTGTTGCAAAAATGCATTAAGCTGTTACAGGATTATTGGTGTTAGTACATAGGTCCGTTCCCATCCCCTTGTGTCTGGCAGGCTCCCTGTTGGGCTGCAGCATCTTGGCCCATCTTTCCTACTCAGCCACAGCCTAGCTGCAGAAGATGGGGCTTGCTTCATGTCCGCTCCTTGGCGAGCATGTGGCTTGGTGGTCAAGCATTGTCTGCCTCCAAGCACTTTGAAGCGTTCTCCCATCTGAGGTGCTACCTTTAAAAAAATAAGAAGTAAAAAAAGGAGTCAGCCCCATCACAACTCACCGCCTGTAGAAATGAGCTGTGTCTCAGGTGTACCCAAAGGAATAACGTAGCTGTGTAATTCTAGGAGCCTGTTTGGGACTGCACATTCCTACTTTGGGTAGGTTCCTTACTGTCTCGGGCATGTATGGGGAGTCTGTGAGCTGGAGTGCAGGAGGTTCCTTCTGTTCGGGCAGGCAGTTCCCAAGTTAAACCGGGGCTACAGAGATGTCACTGCCCTGCAGCCTCAGCCGTGGGTGGATGTTACTTGCTGATTATTTGGTCATTTTCTCCTTCCTTCTTGAGACTTTTGTGAGAKGGCTCAGCATAGTAAGTAGTATCTAAGTAGCTTGTGTAGTCTTGTTCCTCTTTGATAGCTCAACTCATGAGGCCAGGGCACACTGTTCAGGTGCCAGAGTTTTGTGTTTCTGAGCACTAGGGTGTCGGGGGATATCTCATAGGAGAGCAGTAGTGAGCAACTCAAAGAAAGGCACRGTAGCTAAGTGGCATGCAAGTGTAACAGTTGCAGAAGGGTGCGGGCTGTTCAGCTCGTAGCCTTGGAGTGGGGTATGTCCAAGAAATCTTCCAAAGTCTTGCTAGTGGGTGCAGCYTCAGGCATCTGGACAGCGCCTTGAGCTGTGATCCTGCCCCTGGCACTCGGGAAGTGCACAGCTAGTTTGCAGAGGCAGAGCTGCCGGAGGAGTATTGCTGAGTGCACAGAGCAGTGTTCTGGTGTTTGATCAGCTCTCACATCAAGAGCTGCCTTGTTGTGTTCTGCTGGAGCTTTCCCTGYTTTGGTTTGTGCCTCTTGCCTCTTGTCCTGGGCACCGCTGAGAAAAGCCGGGCTCCATCTCTTTATTCTTCCTGCCTTGTGTATTTATGCACATTATGAAGATCTCCCCAGTGTTTTCTCCTTTGCAGCTTGGGTGGTCCCAGGACAGGTAATGAAGTCATTTTGAAGTCTTTTGAAACTGCCTGGTAGGTGGTAATCAGAATATCAAATAGAATTTCAGGGGTCAAGAGAAYTAGTTTTCAAACTAGTTCACAAAGCACAACAATAGAGCTGTATGTTGTATGAAAAGCATCGTTTTTACCTTAAGAATGCAGCCCTACAATTGCTTAGGTGCAGCCTTCAAACTTAGGACACTCCTGATTTGTCTAGGAAAGATCAGTTGATGTATTCTCTGCTCTCGGATTGTTTGCTTAAGGAATGGCTTATTGGGCTAGCTGTGCTCTCGGTCTATCTGAACCTGATAATTTTTATGACAGAATTTAGTAGTTTATTTCATGTGCAACCAGGACAGATTCACCCATCAATGAAGTGGAGCTATTCTAGATTTGCATCAAGTAACTGAGAGCAGAATTTGGAGAGGGTAATCCACGTCACCAGGAAGGCGATGGGTGGATGGGCACTTGGGCACTGAGCTATAAAATTGTTTACAGCTGGAGTAGTGATGTATGAGATACATAATAGAGATACATATGAGCTGATACTGCTGTGCAACATGGTAACATTGGCTATATCAAATCATTGGGATTAGTGCGTGGGAGAAGGTAAAGGAGAGGTCTAGAGCCAGACTGCAGCTATGGAGGTGTCTCCAGGAGAATGGCTGTTCCCGTGGCAGGGGCAAGGGCAAACTGCAGAGAGTTTTGTGACAGGCCTCAGCATGGAAGGTAGTATCTAAGTAGGCGGTGTGAGTAG